CTCCCAAGCAGCTGGGACCACAGGCGCCCGCCACAACGCCCGGCTATTTTTTGGTTGCAGCCATCATTGTTGTTTGGCGGGCCCGGGCTGGATTTGAACCCGCCACCTTAGGCGTATGTGGCTGGCGCCTTAGCCACTTGAGCCACAGGCACCGAGCCGAAAACTGACAATTTCAAGGACAAATAGAAATGAATTCACGACTATATTTACAGACTTCAGCACCCCTGTATCAGCAATGGATGGATCTGGCTGGCAGAAAATCAGGAGGACCTAGGCAAACTCCACAGCACCATCAACCCATGGGGTATAACTGACTGCTGTACAATACCTCATCTTTCAACACACATATTCTCAGGTTCACATGAAATGTTTACCAAGATAGATCACATTCTGGGCCATAAAACACACGTTAACAAATTTAAAGTAATAGAAATTGCAATATTTATGCTCATGGACCACAACAGAATTAAACAAGAAATGAATAAGAAAAGGACAACTGAAAAATCCTAAAGTATTTGTAGATTAAACAACATACTTCTATATAACACATATGTCAAAAGATGACATCAAGAGAAATTAAAAAATATTTTGAACAAGTAAAAATGAAAACATAACATTGAAACTTGTGGGGCAGGGTGAGGTGATTCATACCTATAATCCTAGCACTTTGGGAGGATGAGGCAGGAGGATCACTTGACCCAGGAGTTTGAGGTTGTAGTGAGGTATGATGATGTTACTGGGCTCTAGCTGGGGTGACAGAGTGAGACCTTGTGTCAAAAAAAAAAAAGAAAGAAAGAAAGAAAAGAAAAGGAAAAGGAAAAAGGAAATAAAAAAGAAAAAGAAAAGTGGGATGTAGCAAAAGCAAAGCTTAGTGGAAAATTTACAGCATTAAGTGCATATATTAAAAAAAAAAGTTCTGGCTCAGCGCCTGTAGCTCAGCAGCTGGGGCGCCAGACACATACACCAGAGGTGGCAGTTTTGAACCCAGCCTGGGCCATCCAAACAATGACAACTACAACCAAAAAATAGCCAGACATTGTGGTGGGCGCCTGTAGTCCCAGCTACTTGGGAGGCTGAGGCAAGAGAATCACTTAAGCCCAAGAGTTTGAGGTTTGCTGTGAGCTGTGATGCTACAGCACTCTACTGAGGGCAACATAGTGAGACTCTGTCTCAAAAATAAATACATACATAAATAAATAAAAATAGAAAAACTGAGACAAGAGGATCGCTTGAGCCTAAGGGTTGGAGATTGCCATGAGCTATAATGCCACAGCACACTACCCAGGGCACCAGGTTGAGACTCAAAAAAGAGAAGAAAAGAAAAGAAAAAAAGTTCTGAAATAGTGATCTAAGCTTCCACCTTAAAAAACTAAAAAAGCAAATTAAGTCCAAAGTAGGAAGAAGAAAAGAAAGAATCAAAATTAGGGTAGAAATCAATGAAATTGAGAAACAAATCAATACAGAAAAATCAATGAAACAAAAATCTGTTTTTTTAGAACACCAAAAAAAGTGGCTCAGTGAGTAGGGCGCCGGCCCCATATACTGAGGGCAGCAGGTTCAAACCTGGCCCCAGCCAAACTGTAACAAAAAATAGCCCGGTGTTGTGGTGGGTGCCTGTGGTCCCAGCTACTCTGGAGGCTGAGGCAAGAGAATCACCTAGGCCCAGGAGTTGGAGGTTGCTGTTGTGAGCTGTGACATCATAGCACCCTACCAAGGGCGACAAAGTGAGACTCTGTCTCTAAAAAAAAAGCAAAAACCCAACCCCCAACAAACAAACAAAGAAACAAAAACACCAAAAACTGTCACTAAGTCTGTAGCCAAGCTAAGGCCCCAGGTGGAGGCCTCCCATCAGCCTGGCCGGACAAACCTTTCTTGTTGCTGGGGTCACTGCTCCCGGCCTCTGCCTTCTTGCTCTTGGGCTTGCTCCTGTTGCAGTTCTGGTGGCTGACCACCCACTTGAGGATGCTGGATGCCATAGTGCGCCGGAAGTCATCTGAAAGGACACCACAGTCCCGCTCCTTCTGCCCAACTTGGGGCCAGGCCTGCAGAAGCTCCCCAGCAACCCTAGTCCACATGTCCCCCCGACCCCCCACCTGTCCTGCCCCTGCTTTTCTACAGACTGAGTCTGGCTACACCCTGAGCACCCAACACAGAACTGGCCTCTACCCAGCTGCTCATTGCCCTGTCCAGGGGCTGGGGGCAGAACCACATGCTCCCTCCCCAGGACCACCATCCCTGTGCACCCTCATGACCACAGCCAGGGCAGTCCTCTGCCCGGTCCTCTGTCCTCAGGTGTCTGCCCCATCAATCTGCCTCTGTACTGCTCTGCAGGGATCTTTTCAGAAGCTCCTCTGGCTGACAGCACCAGGGCCCTCTGTGGGTGCCATCATCTCAGAAGGCGGCACCAGGCTCTAGCCTCGGCCTGGCTCTAGGCAGCAAGGGCCACATGTGGTCCACGAGGGACAGGGCAGAGCTGCTGGAGCTGGCCCATGCCAGGGAGGCTCCTTGCCATCTGGGAACCCATAGACTTCACTCCATAACCCCCAGCCTCCCCTTCACGATGTTGCCCCTGGAGGCTTTTGGACTGGCCCTTGCTAGGTGGTCCTGGCCCTGACCCCAGCTGGAGTCACTTACCCAGGAACTCCTGTGTCTCGGTCTCGGTGCAGAGGCTGTAGCAGCGTGGGAAGAAGGAGTCAGGGTTTGCCTGGACGTACCAGGGCAGACTCCGCATGTTCACGCACAGCCCAATCTGCAGAGACAGCACCCACCAGGGGCCAGGCAAGAGGCCCCGCGTGGGGGGGCAGACAGGAGATGCAGGTGCCCAGCGGTCAGCAGGAGGTGCCAGGGAGGCGACCAGCCCCACCCTATACCTCACACCCTGCCCACACCTTAGTGGTGAAGGCCGCTGTCTTTCCGTAGTGGTTCAGCATCTGGTCACCGGCCAGGCTGTGGTAGTCAACCACGTCCCTCTTGATGGTCCAGAGGAAGTACGGCATTTCATTTTTTACCAACCTAGACTGGCAAGAAAAAAGTCTTTATCAATACCCAGCATTCAAGGATTGTCTTCAAGACTAGCAGGCCTGCAACTAAGGAACAAAATATTGAATTTGACATTTCACTTTTAGGCTGAGGAAAAAAAAAAAAGCAACCAAGAACAACAGAAGGCTTGAAGTAGGCCCTAGGGGAGGCAGGTATCAGAGGGTGCAGCTCACCCTCTATAGGAAGTAGGTGCCTGAGGAGTTCACTTTAATGTCTTCCAAAGTCTGGAACAGACTTGTCCTGAGTCTGGACAACACTGAGCGCATCAACATTCCTAAAAGCAGCCACCGGACAGTCAGGATTCCCACAGGTCTCCTCTCCTGTATCTTTTTCCTCATCTTCAGCCGCACCCTTTTCTTTTGGCTCCTCTGAAATTTCATCTTCTTCATCTGGCTCCCAATCTCATTCTTCTGTAGGTTTATAACTCGCATTAATAATCTCGAATTGCTGATCAAATGGAGGCTAAGGAGAACAGCACACTTCCTCCAAGGTCATGGCCATCTGCATAGAGTCTGGCTCCCACTGGTACACATTTAACTTGGGAGCTTTTGATGGCATTCACTTGCCTGAGGTAGCTCCCACTCTGATTGGCCATCAAGTCCTTCCCCGAGGATGCACTCTGACTCTTGTTATTTCACCAGTTTCTTCTACTTCTTCGATATTGCCTCAAATCTTGATCAAGTTGCTGTTGACATTTACCATGTTGTCAGAATTCCAAACACATTTCCTGGTTTAGAAGATGCCAGGAAGGACACGAAAGAGGAAGTGCAGGGCAAGGCGCTGGAGGGTGGAGTATCTGGGAGTACCTGCCAAAATTCCCTTTGCTCTTCCCTTGGCTACAGGAAATGCACATTCCTTGAGGGCCCATGGTGTCCCAGATGTGGGGTGCACATGGAGTCTCAGCCCTCCTCTGGGTGTCTTTGTGGGGCTGGAGACACACTGCTTGCCTGAGCAGGGTAATAAGATGCTTCCTGACTTGAGAGCCAAGCCCAAAGGAGCAGCTCCAGGCAGGCTGCAGACTGAAGAGTGACCTCTTTCCCCACAGTGGAGTGCAAAGCAGGGGAAGGGGCCTGGGTGGAGCTGCAGCCTGGTGCAGGGTGAGGTGGGGTCCTGCTGCTGTTGCTTTTCTATTTACAGTAATGGCATGCCAAAAATCCTAACTATACGAAGAGATGCTAGGACAGAACATTCTCTGAAATCCTACCCCCCAGGCATAACTCCTGACCCAACACCTTGTAGGTCAGTCTCTGCAGACAACATTGTAGACGTATAGACATGACACACACAGGGACCTGTACAGCTCCATACGAAACACACTGAGACACGGATCCTTCTACTGTGATTCCCTGGTTGGCACAGGGCTCGCCCTGTGCAGAGGACCAGGAGGGGATGGGGCCCCACAGGGATACCATCCCGTAGGGACACTGGCTGATTTCTAAGCACTTTGCTCTTTTTCACATGGTCTGACCTTCTTTTTCTGCCCCTAGAGCTGGTGCTTTCAGACAGAAGTCTTGTTTTGCAGAGAATGCTGTGAATTGAATTCTCTTGGGAATATAAAAGCACAGAGCAGGGCAGTAGCTGCTGCACTGGGGTAGGGCAGAGTCCTCCACAGAACTGTGGCCTCTCTCCAGGTCCCCCAGCTCACTGCTTTATCTCTCCCTCTCAAGCAGCAGACAGGACGTCTCTCCCCACCCAAGTGCATCTGTCCAGACCCCAGCTCCCAGGTGACGGAGTCAAGTCACTAGGGTGGGCCCTTGAATATGGGAGCAGTGCCCTCACTGAAGAGGCCCAGAAAGACCTTGCCCCTCCCCACCCCATAAGGACAGCACTCAGACACCTAGGAAGCAGGGAGCCCCCAGAGCCCAGCCTATTCTGTTTGGTAGGCCTAGGACAGGTGCCCACAGTGGCCGAGCCACACAGCAGCCCTGCTCCCCTCTGTGTGTTTTCTCTACAGGACACATCCCTGCTCCATAGCAATGGAATAAATCCAGGCAGGTCTCCCGTGCACTGGCCACTGTGAGTGCCTGGACAGGCGGTGCCCATTTTCCTGTTTCTGCTTCTGTTACCATCTGTGAGCCTCATGTGCTCTGGGCCACGTGACACACACAGCCAGTTGATTTTTCTGACTCTTTATGGGGAGCAGAGTCCAGAGGAGCCAGGGGGCCAGGATGGGCCTGAGGAGGTGGAGGTGTGACTGTGTCCCTGGAGACCCCATCCCACCCCTGGCCAGGCCCCCAGCATTACATTGATCAGGCCACTCAGAGCCCCTTGGGGGCCCACACTGTTGCAGCAGGTAAGTCTATGCAGCCCTGAGGGGCTGCAGGGGGTATGGGGACCTGGGCATACCAAGCCCCACCCTCTGGTACAGTAGCTTGTCTGTCTCGCCCTGGGGCCAGTAGGCCCTGTGCCCCCGCCTAGAGGCCTGGTGCCTCTTTAGCTCTGTCACTCACCAGCTACTGTCCCTGCCCCCCCGACACAGGCCCTGTGGGAACCAAGGCAGGTGACGGCAGGAGGCCGCAGCTCACCCCAGAGCACATAAGTCCCCCTTGGTGAGGCCACGGTGCACCCTAGCGCACATGGGAACGTACCATCACATCATGGATGTTGTCTATTTTCTCCAAAGCCATTTCTTGATTTTCTTTGACTTCAGCACATTTATTTGCTACAAACAAAACACAAAGAAAGGCCTGGACACCTGGGCACTGCCAGACCCACAATGGCCCGGTATCCCTGCTATGGGCAGAATGGCACCTGTTTGTCCCTTGGAACCTTTCTCCACATAAGGCACCCCCAGTAGGGCCCTGTGTGTCCATCGGGGAGCCTCCCCTGCATGTCTCCCTGGCGTAGGGGGCAGCCCAGGGCACAGGTGTATGGACAGGCTCAGAACTCGGGAACCCAGGACTGGGGAGTAGGGGCCATGGGAGGGGACATCAGGCCTTGGCCTCAACAGGGCCCAGAGGACACAGACACTGCTGTGGCAGGATCGAGAGGTACAGCCAGCACCATGGGAGCCAGAGCCAGTGGAGGGACAACTTGGGCTGGGCTGGGGAGGATAGTGAGAAACCCCTCTAGATGGGAGGAGGCCCAGCCTGGGGCTGACACAGAAAACCTGAGCAATGACATGGACACCGGGGTGGGAGACTGGGGGTGGGGGGGACTGTGGAGAGGTGGGATCAGACCTCCCAACACAGGGAAGGTGGAGGGGGGAGCTGTGGAGAGTGGGGTCAGACCTTCCAACACGGAGAAGAGTGGGGTCAGACCTTCCAACACGGAGAAGGCAGGGGGGCTGTGGTGAGGTGGAATCAGACTTCCCAACATGGGGAAGGCCAGGGGGGCTGTGAAGAGGTAGGATCAGACCTCCCAACACATGCAAGGGACCTGTGGAGGATTCCTTGCTCAACGGTACTGGTCCGCACACTGGCAGACATGACACCCATGGGGAGATACTCTACCAGCAGCCCCTTCCCCCATGTCCTCGGCATTCTGGACGACCTTGGGCAGAAAGTAGAACTTCTTCTCTACCCAGCCCTTCCTGCGCAGAGCCGCCCGGATCACAGGGTAGTGCCCGTAGATAGAGAAGATCTTCTTTTCCTGAAATGGCAACAGCACGTTTTAAGGATGGGCTTGGTGGCTCACACCTGTAATCCTGGTACTCTGGGAGGCTGAGGCAGGAGGATCCCTTGAGCTCAGGAATTTGAGGTTGCTTGAGCTATGATGATGCCATGGTACTCTCAAAAAAGAAAAAAAGCATGTTTTAAATTAAAAAGACTGAACAATAAGTTGACTATTTCCCCGTAAAAGGCACTTTCAAAGCAGACTAAGATGGGCCGTGCTCTAGTTAGTGGGGGGAGATTCTGCCAGAGAAGGACCCTGGACACACCCAAAGCACAGAGACTGCTTAGTGCTCGGGGGGTGCAGGTGCAGGCTCTGGACACGCCCCCAAGGGCATGAGGGTCAGTCCTGTTCCACTGGCGTCCCTTCCTCGTGGGGGTCTAGTCCAGAGGTGCTCACTCCCTCATATTCTCATACACAGCACATGGTCACGCACCACGCACCCTTACATGCCACACCCACACGTGACCACCCCTGCACACTGGGACGTTCACACACTCACTTTACTCTCCCACATAGCAGCCCAAGGGCTACAGCTAGTTAGGGAAGCTCTCTGAGCTGAGGCTGGAAGCGAGTCTAACACAGGGGAGGCCATATGGACTGCACATCTGAGGACAGGTGGGGCCATGTCCTACAGAGCTTCTTCTGTACAAGGGTAACCATTCCTTGTGTTTGGGGGAATGTGGGTCCTCAAGTTTTGAGGCTCTGGAGGAGCCAGAAGGGCCTGAGGGCAGCAGGGTGGCAGCACAGGCTAGTGGGAGCGGCTGGGACCCTGCACCTGGGGAACTGCACCGCTGTGGGGGCTGTGGCAGGCAGAGGGCCATCAGGGTGTATACAGACCCGCACTTGCCTTGGGCTCCTCAGTTGGAGCCCTGACTCAGGCTGTGAACAAAGGCAGAGGACTCAGCCTGGACACCAGCAGCTGCAGGGCCAGTGACAGGTAATGAAATCAGGGGTCAGGACAGGATGGGAAACGGTTAACCCAGAGGCCTGTGCTGCCCTCCCTTGAAGAGCCTGCATTGTCCCTCCCCTTGGTGCAGTGGATCCAGCCCATGACCCGCTTCTAACCAATGGGGTGTTGAAATAGGCAGAGATGGGATGTCCCCCATGATCACTGACATTATTTGGTGAATGTATTAGGAGTTTGCAGATAGCATCAAGGCCCCAAATCAGCTGATTTCAGTGCAATGAAAAGACAGATTTCCCGGGGTGGCCCTGACCTGACAGGTCCTTGGCTGTAGGTCTAGGTCTTCCTTGGTGTTGGAGATGTACATGGGGGGCTTAAGACCCCACAAGGAAGTGGACTCAGCTGCAACCTGTGCAGGGTAAGCCGACCCTCCCACCCAACTCCAGGAGAGCAGCAGCCCAGTGGGATGTGAGGATGTGAGCCTCTGCCCCAGCAGGGAACGCACACCCAGCCTAATCCAGAGCCTCCCTGTCCATAGGGACCTGTGCCCACAGGGACCACACAGGAACAGATACCTGCCATTTCATGTGGCTAAGTCTGTGGAGATCTATTAGGCAGCATAGACAACTCAGGTCCCTACAGGAAGATGCAGGCCATACCTAGGAGTGCAGACCAGGCAGAGCAGGTGGCCAGACACTCTGGGGTAAGTTCCTGCCCATGTGAGAGATCCAGCAGGTCAAGGGCCTTCCCTGGACTGCCTTACAGGACACTGGTGCACAGCCTGCCCCTCAAGGTGGCCGTGCACGTGAGGGCCTAGTCACCAGCAGGAGCTTCTTAGGGAGCTAGGCAGCTGGCAGGAGATACCTCCTGCCACCTGACATCCCACTTAGTGGTGGTCAAAGGAATAACTTTGGAAAAGCTAATTTTACTAAGTTAGCAGAATACAATTCCCAAGGGAATTGTGGAACTAACAAAAGCAAAGCATAAGACTTGTTACATATATGAGAAGGAGACATGAAATGAAAAATGTAGTCAGCCCAAGGAAGGCACAAGAAGGGAAGGAAGGAAACTGGACAGGCAGAACACCCAGGGAGTGAAGCAGGGCACAGCACTGACCACATAGCCTCGGTCACACATGTAGGTGCTTTCAGTAAAAGGCACATTGCCAGATGTTTTCAAGCTAACTCTGTTATTTACAAACATAAACCTCCTCACCAGGGGAGGCTGGGCCTTGCTGGTAGCCCTGCCGTGAGTGTGTCAGGACCAAGTCAGCAGACCCCAAATGCCAAAATAAATTTCCTTTTTTTTTTTTTTTGGCAGATTTTTGGTCAGGGCTGGGTTTGAACCTGCCACCCTCGGCATATGGAGCCAGCACCCTACTCCTTAAGCCACAGGCACTGCCACTAAATTTCCATTTTTAAAAAGTGCCCTCCTCCCCATAGAGTCCAAACAAGGATTCACCTTGATTGCTTTTTCTGTTAATTGTCTTGCTATTTTATATCTGTCCAATTTGGGAGACGAAGCCAAATCTTGGGACATTCCTCGTTTTAATTCTGCAAAAGAGGAACAGGACATCAAAGCAAGGACCAGAGCACCAAAGCGCTCGCTGTGAGCCAGCAACACTTCTAGTGCCAGACCACAGAGATGCCCACTGCAAAGGCCCCATCACCCCGAGACACTTGCACTCCCCACCCTCACACACCTGGTCCCCTGGACACCAGAAGCAGGTGGACCAACCCTTCCTCCCCACCCTCCCACCTATGCCTCACCATCTGTCCCCTGCCTGCCCATGCCCTGGCTGCACTAGCCTCAGGGACCTACAGTCCTCACCGGGATCCACAGCCTGCTCCAACCTGGTGCCCACCTTACCTCTGATGTTCTCCCCACCACCAATGCCCCAGCTGGCCCTCTCTGACCCTGGATGCCAGAACTCCCACAAGCACACACCAATGACATGCACAGACACCACACCCAACAGCTGCTTGTGTTCTGTATGCTGTTGAGTAAAGTGCTTCTGTGTATAACGGGCACCCAAATTTTTGGCTCAAACTTCCAGGAAAACAATCCTCAAGAAAGTGACTGGCTCCTGGCCAGGAGAGACACATCTGGGGAGGCCTGAGGCTCCCCTGGTAAACGTGCAGATGGCACTGCTCTCCCACAGCTGCCAGCTCTGTGAAGGCTGCCCCTTTCTTATCTCCCGAGCTCTTTCTGCCCCATATGTCTGGCAGTGGCTGAGATAGTCATTCTGGGAGTATCTGAGGCTGCTCAGCCCCTGGGCAACCAGGCAGGTCCCTGAAACCTGCAGATAGCTTCCAGTACCCTCTGCATGGTTGCTCAGGCTTTAGCCCTTGCCCTGCATAGCCTGGCCCACCCCACCATCCCTGCCACCACCCCCTCCCCTGATTATGGTGCTTGGCAGAGGTTGCTCTGGCCACTCCCACTGGATCCTGGATCCTCCAGGACTGGAACCCCGTGTGCCTAGGTGGGAAAGTGGGGCAGCCTGGGAAGCCCACAGGGTTTCCCCACTCCTGAGCCATACTACCCATGTATAATGCACATCCTTTTTTTCCCTCAAAAATTTGGGGCAAAAAGTGTACATTATCCAGTTAAATACAGGTACATTCTCTTCACACAAAGAACGTGTTCTAGCACAGATCATGGGCAGAGCTGTAGAACCTCAACAAAGTTCAGAGAACTGAAATGATACCCATCAAGTGTTCTGACAATAGTTGGTTGAATCAAGCTGGAAAGTAATGACAAGAAAATAACAAGAAAGTTTCGCAAATGTTCAGGATAAACAGTACAGTTTTAAAGTAAAACATGGATCAAAGGAGAAAGCAAATGGAGATTTTAAATGATTTTAATTAAATGAGGTAAAAATATGACATATCAAAGCATTACAGGGCAACTAAAGTAGTGATTAGAAGGAATATATAACTTTAAGCACATTCTTTAGAACAGAAAACAAATTGAAATTTCTAAGCTACAATCCCAAGAGGCTAGAAAGAGAAAAATTACAGTCAAGGAAAGTAGAAGACAGAAAATAATAAAGGTGAGAGCAGAATGCAATTAAATAAAAAACAAATGTAGTATAGAGAAAACTAATGAAACCAAAAATTGGATCTTTGAAACAATTTTTTAAATTGAGAAATCTCTAATTCCAACCTCTGGTCAAGAAGAAAAAGAAAAAGCATGAATTGCAAATATCAAGAATGAAATAAGGGATATCCCTAATGATTGTATCGGTACTAAGAGGACATTATGAATATCTACATGCCAACAATTTGACCATTCATATGAATGGACATTTTCCTTGAAAAACAAAGCTTATCAAAATAGACATAAAAGAAACAGAAAATCTGGACAGGCCTATTTCTGTTAAAGAAATTAACTCCATAATTAAAATGTTACCCAAGATGAAAACTCTAGGTGTAGATGGCATCACAAGCCAATCTTTCCAAACACTTAAGGGAACAAACACCTTATGTATATGCTTTCATTAATAGGAAAACAGGAAACTCGTCCAACTCTTTTTATGATGCCATAAATCAAAAACCAAAATATTTCAACAAGAAAGGAATAGTGCAGGTCAATCTCTTTCATAAAAATAGACACAAAGATCTTTTTTGTTTTAGACAGAGTCTCACTTTGTCACCCTCTATAGAGAGCTGTGGTATCACAGCTCACAGCAACCTCAAACTCTTGGGCTTAAGTGATTCTTTTGCCTCAGCCTCCTGAGTAGCTGGGACTACAGGCGCCCAACACAATGCCCAGCTATTTTTTGGTTGTAGTTGTCATTATTGTTTGGCAGACCTGGGCTGGGTTCGAACCTGCCAGCTCCAGTGTATGTAGCTGGCGCCCTAGCTACAGAGTTACAGGCACCAAGCCAAAAAAGAACTTTTAAAGCCTGGAGCCACACTCTACTTCATGGTGAAATATTAAACATTTTCCCCTTGAATTCAGAAACAAAACAAAGATGTACATACCATTTCTGTGTGAAGTGACACTGAGAGTAATGGCCAATGCAATAACTCAAGACAGGGGAATAAAAGATACAAAGCTTGAAAACTTTGTAGATAATGACTGTGCACACAGAAAATGTAAATACATCTACAAGCTCCTTAGAATTAGTAAATGTGTTTAGTAAGGTCGCCCAATACCAAGACAGTATATAAACAGAAACTGTATTTCTATATACAAGAAAGAATTACAAAATAAAACTCAAGAATGTCATCTACAACATTAAAAACCATCAGATATCTAGGACTAAATCTAACAAAAGAAGGCCAGAATACTTACATACCGAAAACTACAAAACATTGTTAAGAAGTAAAGAAGTACATCTCAGAGGTGAGGAGATTCAAGATGTTAATTCTTCCCCACTTGATCTAGAGATTCAATGTGACCACAATTAAAATCCAGCAGGATTTACACATGTGTGTAAATTAACAATTTGACTCTAAAATTTGTATGACAGTGCAAAAGTCAAAGCAAACCTATACAATCTTGAAGAAGAGCAAGGTCAGAAGGCTTCTACAACTCGGCAAAGGACATAAACTACTGCAGTTCAAGCAGGGCAGTGCAGCAATGAGGGTTGGGAGAAGGATCAGCAGAACGGAATGGAGCCCAGAACCAGACTATACCTGACTGTCCACAAAGGTGACACTGCCAGGTGGAGGCTGCTGAATCAACTGGATATTCATGGGGGTGGGGGGAGAGGAACACTGACCCCTATCTCACTCCATACACAACAATCATTTCCAGCAGGTTGTGGACCTAAATGTGAAATTGAACTTGCAAAGCTTCTAAAAGAAAACAGGATGTTATCTTCTGGACAATGGAACAGATGAAGTTTTCTTAAAAGAGATACAAAATATACTAGATACAGAAGAAAAGATGGACAATTAGACTTCCCTAAAGTTAAGAGGTTGTGATTATCAAAAGGAATCACTGAGTACTGACATGCTGACCGGTATTTAAGATACATCTACCCAATAAAACACTGGTACTAGCACATGTAGGCAGTCCCTCAGGTCAGCAAGACCTACAACCCAATTTACCAATGGCCTTCAGATGAGGAACAGGCCTCCACAGATGAGCAGCTGTGACTGGTCTGTGTGTGTGCAAAGGGCCCAGCACCAGCTGTCAAGGAAGTGCAAATTGAAACCAGAGTGAGATGCCCACAGACACCCCCAGGTGCTCAGACCAGTTTCTGGGGCAGACCAGGAGGAACTCCAACTCTAGACCCAACCAGTAAACTGCCTGGTGGAATCTTCTAGAGTTAAATATGCCTCAGCAATTTTACACTCTGTGCCTGACCAAGGACAAGGAGGGGGATTTTTGAAGACTGGAGTGTGTGGGGCGCTCCACAGTACCACCAGGAGCCCCCCACAGCAGCATGCTGAGTTGTCCACATTCTCAGCAGGGTGCAAGAGCAGCGGTAGCCCCCCGCCTCCACAGAGCCCACAGGGCCTCCTCACACCCTGTGCAGCCCGAGACATGGCCCTGGATGTAGCCCTGGAGGGCCCTGCACAGGGCACCCGCATTCTGAAGACTCGCCCCCTGCACGTGTCTAGTTACAGCTGACCAACTTAGAACAGCCCATCTGAACGCTAAGCCAGTGGACAGTAAGTGGGTGATACAGACTGTTTTCTTCTCTCCTGTCTCCATCTGATGAAGCAGAGGAGAGCCTCTTCCTGCCTGGCTCCATGCTGGCTTCTAGCAGCTCAGCCTTCTTGCCTCTGGGCCCTAAAGGAGAGAACAGGTTAGGAGGAAAGCCAGGGAGCAGGATGGGAGTCTGAAGTCCTGATTGGGAGGTAGGTCTGGGTCCGGGGAACAGGCTTGAATTGGGGAACCGGTTTGCGCTGGGGGGTAGATCGGGGTTGGGGGCAGGTCAGGAGTTAAGGGACAGGTCTGGGATGGGGGAGGTTGCAGCTGAGGGATCGATCTGGGGTTACAGAGGAGAGGTCTGGGGTTCTGAGGCGCAGGGAAATGGGCAGCTCTAGAGTGCCAAGGAGAGGCGAGGGCAGGTGTGGGGAGAGGAGAAGGGGCAGTTCTGAGCGAGGCAGGTCCGGGGTTCTGAGGGCGCGGGTGGGGGAGGGGATCGTGTCTGGGATCTGGACGGGCCTGGGTTCCGAGCGCTGGGCGGGGCAGTGCTCACCCGGGACCCGCCCGGTGGTTGGCGCGGCGCCCTCGTGGCCCGTCGCGCCACCTGGCGTCCTGCGGTTGCCCGGGACAACGGGCCTGGGTGGCACGATGCATTGTGCATCCCCCGGGAGCGGGCAGCGGGGCTGGGGGCGCGCGGCAAGGCGGCCCGCCCGGGGCGTGGGGCTTCGTGGGCGCGCAGGCGCTGGCCTGGGGCGCCGGGAGCGGCCAGAGCTGCTGCGGCGGCGGGGGAGACGCGGGCGGCGCGCGGGGGGCGCGGGCCGGGACTGGCGGCAGTCGATGGCGCTCGGTCTGGGCCAGGGTTCGGGGGAGAGTCCCAGGCAGCG